CCGTTTCTAATAGTAAACGGTCGGTTTTAAAAAGGATATAGCTATACTACGTTAAAGCGGGGCCTAAAAAATATTAGGTTTAAACGTAACAGATTTAAATTTCTCTATCGTTATTAAAATTGCGAGTTTAATATTTCAATTTATCGATAGAGGTGTAGACGTTTAAATATTTAATTATTTTTCTATTTAATTAAACTCTATTAATAGAAATTAATAATAGATTAAAAATAATTAATATTTAATATTTTAATGCCGTGGCCGGATAATAAAGGAAGAATTCTAATTATAATTTCGGCGATTATCTTTATTATAAGAGCGACGATTTCCATCTAAATTAGGTTTCCGGTTATTCTAATATCTCCGTCCTTATTAATTTCCTAATTCCGAAGTTCTCGAAATTCGGCTTCTTAGTATTAATTTTTTCGACGTTAAACTTCGTCGAATTTAATTTAACGACGAACTTCTTCAAATCTAGTTCGACGGCGTTAATTTTTTTTAATCTAGGTTTAACAAACTTCCTTAAATTCGATTTAACGACGATGTTAAATTTCTTTAAGTTCGGTTCGACGACGTTAAGTTTCGTCGAACTCTATTTAACGACGAGCTTTTTCAAATTCTCTTTAACGCCTACGTTCTATAAATTCGGTTTAGCGATTACGTTTTACTTCTTTAAATTAGGTTTAATAATAAAATCCGGCTTTTTATTGCTAGAATTCTATTATTAGGCAGACAGCGTACTCGACGACAATTTCCTATTATTCTTTATACTATTAGTTTAACTCTTAGATTTCGAATTATTCTCTAATTTATTATTAAAAACGTTCGAATTTATAGAAGAGGTTTTACGGGGTTTTTTCGCTAATAAATAAGGAATAGAGGAGTTTTTAGGGGTTTGGAGTTTTAACTAAATTGCCTTTAGGTTTAGGTATTTAAAGTAAATCGGTTAGAAGTAATTAGGGTTAGGAAAGCGTGTACTTATAGCCTTAACGTAGATTAATAAGAGGGTTAGGTTATTTTTTAATAAATTAATATATTAGAGCGCTTTGTATTTTAAACTACGTAGTAAGTACCGGAATTTTCGTAAGGACGCCTTATTTAATCTACTATCGTCAATTTCTTAGGAATTCAGGAAACGAATTCTTTTTGGTACTTTATTTAATTGGGAACCTTTCTTTGCTATTAAGAATGGGATCTTTAAGTTCGAAGGTAGGTTCGAAATGTCTAGTAAAATTGAAGTTATTTTCCTTAAGGAGTAAGGATTGAAGCTATCTATTAAAATAGAATCTGAGGATTTGACGGGCTTATAAATATTTATCGATTATTTAGCTAAATTCGAAATAAATTGATAGTAAACTTATATTAATTTTAAGAATAATCGATAGTATTTGATTTCCTTAAGTACGAGATAATATGTTAAATGTAAAAGTCCGCGTTTTATTTAGTACGAATGTATTAGGCGGGGTATTTTAGTCCTAATTTAATTCGATTAGTGCCTCGTTACTAAAGAGGGCTAGTGAAAATCCCTTTCCGAATTAAAAGAAAAAAGAAAATCAATCAATCTAATTCGACGATAATTTTATTCTACATATTTAATACGTAATGGCGCACTACTATTAGGGTATTATAGGCATGCCGTACAATATATATAGATTAATAATCCGAGCTAAGTCCGGCTAGGAACTTGGCCGACCCGAGGGGAAATATATGTACTCCCAGTGCCTCCCGTACTGGGTACTTCCTTCCCTGGAGTCTGGCTTATGCCTGCCTCGCCTGGCCTGTGCGTGCCTGGCCCAGTGGCTTGACAGTACACGCGACAAAGAAACGTCAAGTCATTCCGGATATCTTTGGCACGGGAACGTCCTCGATACAGGAAATTTGGAGGGACTCATTGATATTGCTCACTTGTCATCAGCTTCTCAGATTCTCTACCTTACGGTCAGCCAGTCAACGGACTGAGGATCGCTACAGGTTCAATCGTTACAGCAAGAACTCAAGCCATGATTCTCAACAACTACCCTTCTACTTCGTCCTGCTTGCCTTCAAGGAGGTTTGAAACGATACCGGTTCATCTACCATATGGATAAGATGGGGGCCCGTCCCCCACGTACAAGCAGTTTCCACTGTACGCACTGCAAGCCCCCAAGCCCATGGCTTAAAGAACACGAGACCTGCGATCTTCAGTGCAGAACATGGAGGGTAGGCAATTAATCAATCAATCAACGACCCGCGAAGAGTCGTGGTGCTTGCGGTGCCTCTTGTGGTTTGAACAAGGACTCTTTGCACGCTCGGTTTGGCTTTTCCTCAACGATCACCAGCTCGCGGAAAAGAGAGAGGGAAAAACACAAGAGATAGCACCCCTATAGGCGGTTACTGTGACGGATGTCAGACAAGACTCTCAACCGCTAGATCATGGCCCAGTCCCAGAACGATGGTTTACAAGAGTTAGTACCTAGTCAAGGTTGTGTACAAGCATAAACAGACACAGCAACAACAGTCAACCAACCCCATCATGAACCAAACACCGTGAAAGACGGAAACCGTCTTGGTTGCAAGACAAACGCACGGAGAATTCCGTCGAGGGCAACACCGTTCAACCATAAGGCGTTACTGTGGCGTGGCCTTGTCCCAGTTGATTGATCTCGATGGTACGTACATACATACTCCTCCTTCACCTTTACCAAAAACCACTCGTTCACTCTCTGACTTACCAAGGTCCATTCAAACATGCTTCTTCAACATGATTTCTAGTTTGTACGCATTGCATGTTTTCTACTTAGACCTTTCCCATTGGCCGCACCACGTTCCGTTAAGAGACGGTAACTGGTGCTACACTACATTGTTGTGGCCTCTTGTTATTCGCAGGGGTAGAACGACACAGTAACGAACCGGGACGGTCCAACCCATTCCAATTTCAGCCTGAAGCTGTGGCTTACATTCGACCACGGGATCGTCGTCCCTCGGGCCCGAAAGAGAGGAAGCTTGCTTAGGCAAGGGACGGGATGCTAGCTTGGTTTACAGTATCAGAGTAGGTATCGGATGTTCTTATATCTTGCACAAAATGGATGAAGAAAAAGATGGGTAGTCGGTTCAAACGAGTTCGATGGAACTATCCGTCTTGCTCGGATTATCTACCGTTGTGCACATTACTTTTCCAGACCAGTGAGACTAGGTAAAGTGCAAGCCATCAATACTAAGGGTGACTGAGTACCGCTTTTACTCAGTCATAAGAGATTTACTAAACCTGGCAGTTTTGGTAAGAGAAGCTGCATATGCAAGGCGGCTTTAGTGCATATGAGGCATCAATCCAATAGGGTTATCCCATTTTCCTAGCTAGTGCCTTTGGTAAATCTCTTATGGATAAGTATTAGCGGTAGTCACTCAAAGGCTCTCTGACTATCATCCACATTCTATAGAGGTACGTTTTGTTTCGGCCGTTAGGAATCACCACATCAAACTATGACAGTTTATATTTTCAAGCATAAGCAAAGGAAGCAACACACAAAAGCCACAGCCGTTTAACCGCAACCAAAGACCCAAATACCATAACGACATACCTACCTCGTTAACTCGAACACGGAATTATTCACCCCCATCTACCCGCTCCTGAGAACAAATCCACTTACCGCGGACTCTCGGGTACGGATAACCACATTAAAAGACGGTACATACCTAACTAACTACCTTACCGCCTATGTACCAACCCTACACTCCCACGGCTACCTATGTAAGCGTTCCGTCTGTCTCCATGTCATGTAACACAATTGCGTCCAGTCCACTTCACTCTTCCCGCCGACGGAGGTTACCGTCTTAGAGTTTGCCAACGTGTGTCTGTCCATGTATGTGTTGACACTGTGAGGGAAGATACCTACATACCTGTAGGTTACAGGTATGTAGGAGGTTGTTTGCTTTCGAACTTTTGAAGGCTGCTTGACCCTGATCCTTGGGCAATTTATAGAAAACGTGGTGGACGTGGGTGGTGCGTGGGTAGATGCAGGGCTTGTCGGTAATACCGGTGGGTCATCTTGGGATGTGTAGGTACCTATGAGGCAAAGAAAGGGAAGGGAAGTGAGAAGAGTGCAGAGAGGAGATAGAGAGAGAGAGAGAGAAGGAGTTGGTGATGGAGGCTGGGTGGCTACTTAGGCACATACATTGGTACCTATATGTAGCCGTTGATAACTTCCATTTGAAATTCGGAGGACTCATCACACGGTATTGGTCCCTTCCTTGTGTTCTACCTTCGCTCCTTCCTCATCTTTACTCCAGACATACCTAACGATCACACCACCAGGGGCAGTCGTTCTTTCCCACATTTCACAACCAGAGACGAAATTTTACTCACCATGTCTGCCGGTATGGGCAATCCCAAGAAAACCTTCGTGATGCAGTCATCTCACATGTTGACAAGACCACGGCAGTGGTATCCAACACCGATATACCACCACCCTCTATCATATGTACTAAACTGCAGCGGACAACAACCTCCACTTCCACCCTCCGACCACCCATCATCTACCTCGGACCCAAGAAATGGTATAACTCTTCCTTTACTCACCAAGCCACTCCCGCTCTGATGGTATGGCAGTATTCCGGCCGGTAGTGGTAATGGAGTATAGTACGTTGTCTATTCCTGTTACCTAAGCGGCAGATAACGTAGCATTACACCCGTGGACATGCATGTTGTGCGACAATTGTCGGTTGGTTGGTGGAGGTGGGCACTGGGGGAGAAAGTTGTTCAGAGCTCCCGTCTGTCTCCAGTCGTCTCTCTTATGTAGTTCCTGCTGGTTGTGAGAGAGGTGGAGAGATATGTATTACTAGCCGTGAGCTAAAAACAGGCCGGTACCCAACTGAATGAATCCTTTCACTTTCAAACTGTGATGTGGGAATTGCTACATACTACTACTTACTACCTGTATCAAGCGGGATCACATCAGTCTTTCCTCTGTGCCAAAAAAAAAAAAAAAAAAAAAAAAAAAGACAACATTATTGACCGCGGAAGGTAAGGCAAGTACAATCATGAACGGAAAAGAGAGAGAGATCTAAGAGTGACATCACCCTAGTCTACTCTGCCCATCATCTAAAGGCACCACCAACCTCCTTATCTGACTTGCCTGCTTGCTACCTACCTTCCACTTCCTACTCATTCCACAAGGTACCTTCGCACCTCCGCATCTCTCTCATACCTACGACATCCACATCATGGACCCAGAAGATCTGCAGTGCAAGTGTAGACGTAAGCGAAGGCGCCTAAGTGAGATGGCACCACGTCTCCTAGGCTCCCAGCGGGTCTCTAGAGCTTTCTGTCTCCCCCGTTGGCCCCAATTTTGTCCAGTCCAAACGGGCTGCATATAAAAAAATATGACAACAACGTGCTCTTCTACCTTTATACCGACGGGCAGTGACAAAGCTCCATTTCTGAAGTCTTCACCGAGGTTCGACCAGTTCACACCTGGTTGAAGGCAAATACCTGGATACAGATGTCTGTTAGGTTCTTCCCATTGTTCCACTATGTTCAGCAAGTGTGGTCCATCACCAAGACAGATATCACGGTATGCTGGGGACATGATCAAGCATGTCCAACAAATAAAAATTGCACAAGTCATAATGAGATTCGACATTCACACCGTGCTAGGAGCGACAAAACTACAACCAGAAACAGCAATGAGTTTTCATACGAATCATGTTATTAAATATTTACCCGAGTTGTCTATAGCATGGAATGCCTCCCCCATCTACTCCATTATTCATTAACAGCCATCCCATCATGCGTTCCAACTCCGTAGTGATATCGACCAATATCCTTCACCCTCATCCTTCCTCCACAGTAGCCAACCGACGGCCCTTTCGTGGTATATCCATCCCATATCGTAACCTCTATCCTCCTTACTCATATCGCCAAAACACAAAAGCGAGCGAATGTATGGGGTATCGTTGTGCATTGAAACAAAACGAGAACCGTAACCGGACAGGAAAAAGGAGCGCATTGTCATTTCGTCGTAACAAGTCTTGTAGCTGATATCTTTCCCAGGTGCTCAACCAGCTAAGGGCGAGCAGGCTGGAATAGGGTCATCTGTTGTGATGCCGTACACCTAAATGATTGATGGCAAGACCCTCAGAAGTAGTGCATTGCTTAGACGGCAGGAGCAGCGAGTTGAGGAGCAGTTTCACCGGAGTGGTGGCCGGTGGTGGCATGCTTCTCAGGGTAAGTACCGGCGATGGGGACGCGTCCATACTGAGTGAAGGCAATGTTTAGGCGGCTGTAGTCCCAGCGGCGGCTGAGGAAGACAAAGGCATAGCTGAGAGTGGTGATGAAGAGGACGTCGAGAATGCCGAAGAAGATCATGCTCTTGGTGACACCAATGACGTTGCCGCCGTCAGAGACGCCCCAGGCAATGGGGTAGAGGAGCCAGAGGAGGTTGGTCCAGCCAGAGAGCATCATGTAGTCGCGGTTGATACCAACACGGTTAGCCGAGCGGCGGGCGCGGAACAATGTCTCAAAGGCGAGGAAGATGTGGGCAAGGAAGGCAAAGGCAAAGAAGCCCCACTTGTAGTTGGAAGGAACATAGGTGGCGACGAGATAGCCGATGACCCAGATCCAGGAGAGGAAGATGTTGAAAACGATGGTGGCCCAAGAGACGCCCGAGAGGATGCCCATGGCGAGAATGGCCGCGGGGAAAGAGACGACCCAGAGGACATACTTGGCCCAGAAAATTTGGCGGGTAGGACCATGGTGACGGACTTGGTTCCTTTGGCTGACCACATCCCAGGCGAGGTTAGCCGCCATAGCAAAGTATGCGAGGGTAGCCACGAGGTTGGTGACGATCCAGATGTAATGCCAGAGGCGTTCACCGCGGCTGGCCTTGAACTTGAGAGCAAATAGGACGAGCTGTTGAAACGATGGGTCAGCATAGGAATATGATCATGAGCGTCCGATGAGATGGGGAACCTACTGTGTTGAGTGCAAAGAGGGCAGTAACAGCCCAGAGCCAATCCGAGCCGTGCTCACTCAGGTGCTGGCCCTGAGGAGCGGGATGGACGTTCAAGACGTCGTTGCGTGGGAGTAGAATCGCCATTGTGGTTCCGATGATTCGGGTGGCGAGGTGTAACGGTTGCTGGTGCTAGTCGTACACTAAACGGGAGCGAGATAACTCGTTGATTTGCTCGTTTCCCGGTAAGGATGGCTAAGTTGGTGAGAAGTGTATGCTTCGTTGAAGTGTTGCACGAACTCTGATGATGGACTGAGAAGGATTGGGTCAGATGTAGGCAAGACTGGAGACTTTTATAGGAGATGCAGGCTGGGGAGATGTGTGCTTTCCGGTCTGGCCTGCCTTGGATGTTTGGATGACATCTGCTTGCAGGGCCCGGAGATAGCATTGGTCACATCACTTGGGAAGGCTTGATGGGAAAGTTCTCGAAACCCGCCTTTTCCGGTGTCATTGTTCCGTAAGGCGAAGGGACGAAGGAGGGACGACAGCAGCCGCACCGGCGCACCGAGCTTAAGTACCGTAGCAACTCCTAAGCGGTAGTCAAGTACGTAACTGCAAAAGATGTACCGTACCTGCAACAAAGCAAGGGTGGTGAGTTCACTGTTGGGAAGGTGCAAAAGAGGGATGACAACAGCCGATCCATGACCGAGTCCGGACAACATGATCCGTCCAACACGCTGCTCGCGACATTAGTTCGCTTGTACCGCCGATTGGCTTGTTTATAGACCCTGTCGATCTACCCCCGTAGCTTTGCCTAGCAATAACGTGGTCTGGATATTGAAAGAGATGAGAGTCGTGACGAGATGATACAGCGGAGCCGGACTACCTGCTCCGGGCCGCAACACACACATTTTTCCTTCTTCCTCTTGGGAGCTCCAGGGTTTGCACCGACTTGGACCACTCAACCACTGGACCAACAACAACCCAAACAAACCAACCTCGGATCCCACCTTTCTTTGTTAGGCCGGGACTTTGCTTGCATGGTGGTCGTATGTTTGGCTGGAGATAGCTACAGGGCGGCTCACTGGAGCTCACCCTGCTCACCCGCTTTGGTGCTCCAAGGCACTGCCTGCACTTTGCATTGGATGACCAGACTTGCCCGTGTCCCTTGCTTGCCGCTTTGGCCTGCATAGATAATAGAGCTTTCCCTTCCCAATATTGTTCTGTTGTGTGTTGTCAACGATGACGGACTGAAACGATTATCGCGTTTCCTTGCATGAAGGGCTTGTCTTGGCATACGGCATCTCTGGTGTAAGTGACTGATCGCCAGCCCTTCGAAATCCGCTCCCCTGGTCCTTTCCTGTGAGCGTTAGTGACATCGGCATATTCGGAGCGCGATCGGGGCAGGAGGAGCTCATGATTGTCGGCCGTGATGGTAAAACTCTGGCAGAGATCGTGACAGCCTCACCGAGTCAGCCTTACGTACCTTGAGGTTGTCCTGAGGACTTAATTTGGGTCGGAGACGTCGGTGGTTGTTGGTCAAGCGAGCCTCAAACCATGGAAGCTTCCAGGGTGGGCAGCCACGGGCATCTGACCAAGATCCCGCGGCTTCCGTGTCGTTCTGCACTCACAACCTGCCCTGGCGCCCTTGGCTGTCGGACGCCTGCGGTGTTGGATCACGATGATGGATGCGACGTGCGAAGTGCCTGAGGGAAAGTAGTGTCGTTGACCGGTCGGCGGGTGGCTGCCGCAAGTTGCACTAATGCCGGCAGATGCACTTGGCGGTTACGTAATCAGAGGGCAAGTACCTATTACAATACCGTAACCGTACCTTGCTAGTGTAACATCGTTTGTGTCGATGTTGCCATTAAGTCTCGAGACCTTTGAACCAGACAACAGTGACGTGCGTCCATCTCCCGCAGGAAGGCAGGTACTCAGTCTGTCGACTCGGTCGGGCATCGCATCGGAAAGGTCGGAATCGCAGCTCCTCATCAACCCATCCATCATCCAATATCTGCAGGACGAAAATGTTAAGGGATGGGACGAACACTAACAATGGAACTGGCAAGTCGAACGGATCTTGCAAGATCACGCGACAACGCCATCATGATTTTAAATCCAGCTTGTAAGAACCGAAACTTCCATTCCATAGGGATAAGACATCCAGACACCCGTGCTTGTCACTGTTCCTCCTCTCTCCTAGTATCGACATGTCCAACATTTCCATTTGAAGTGCAAGAAGGAAAGGATGAATGAACCTTAACTCCTTAGCTGCGGAACCCCCAAAGCCCAGACGGTCCCCTGACGGTCGACCGACGGTTGCACTGCTTTAGACGTCTTACTTCTTAGTCAAATAATTACCGGTTTACCTTGTGACAGCGGTTTAACTGCATAAACGGTCGCTCCAGAGGTAGACCGTCGGTCACACGTCTGCCCAAAAATAAGCGGTCGGGGAGCGGTCGGAAAAGTCAGACGTCTGAGAATCCCCAAGTCTTAAATACAAATACCTGGGCATTTCTTTTCGCTTTTAGTCGCAGTCATAGTCACGGTCACGGTTACGGTCACATTGATGCTTGACTACTTGAATTCCTTGCCCAGCTTTGTCTTCTTTAGCCAACAAGAAGAGAGATAGAGAGCGAGAGAGCCGGGTAGTCTATTTACCAAGGCATTGCTTTTGCAATGCCACTTGGTTGCAACTTCCACTTGGAAGATGATAATGACTTGGTGAATGGGCTATCCGGTTCACTCTGGCTGACTTAGAGGTTTTGGTTGCAAGGAAGAAAAAGAAGAAGTGCAAAGTTTTTACTTCGAGGTTGGCCTTATAGTGGTGAAAGGTGGCCATCGTCGCTCTTGCCTTTTGAAGCCTCTTGTCTTTTGAAGCCTCTTGCCTTTTGAAGCCTCTTGCCTTCTAGGATCTTGGCTTCTGAAGCGTCTCCCAACCTTTTACTTTTTCCAGACCATTGAACTACCATTTAGAATCTTCTAAGCTGTGAGGTGGCTATCGAATGGCTTAAACCGCCGGAAAAAAAACAGGCCGTTAATGTGTTAGGTGGTTGAAATTGCCAACGGTTTACAAGTTTGGCCATCAACCTTTACAACGGTTTAAATGAAGTAAACCGACTTTCGACCATCTAATGCATCTAATGGTAGTAAGACCGCCTAGCAAAATGGCCATGTGCAGCTAAGTCAACAGCTTTCATACTCCATCGATAGGGCGTTGACAACATGCCCCAGCATTCCCCGGGCCGATGGAATGGAAAGAAATTTCCACAGTCAGTGGACTCGTGGACTCCAAAGTTCCAGTTTCAAGGCGAACCCAACCCTTGTCGAGACCAGATTTTCAGCCCTGCGCGCCGAGCCGCAGGCACCGCACTCCATTCGACCCGAACGGCGTTCTGTCATCACCCCACAACCGCAGTGCCGTCATTCCATCTCCACTTTTTACGTCCGGGTCGTAGAATCCACACTTAGCTAGCACCTTCTGGTCTTCGTTGATGAACGTTTAGGTTCTCAAGGCGCTCTGGTATGTACTACGGCATCTCGCTTCTTCGCTTATGTTTGCAACTATCATAGATACAGCATCGAATAGAAACAAATGGACTTATCTATCCCATCCCCAAGTTCGAAAATTAAGTTGCAAAAAGTACGAAAAAAAAAGAGGACAAGAGGAGGCATCAAACGGCTGACGTCACGTAAAGTGGGAGGGAGTAGAAGAGCCCTATTTGCGTAGCCCGAAGACGCCACTTTAGCAGTTACTCCGAGAAAGATGACTGACAGCGTGTGAGCGTCCGGTCATCTTGAAGCATCTTATTTCCATGTCTACGTTGATCCTCCGCGAACATCAACCCCAAAATCGTTAACGTCTCTAAGTTATCGTCCCCAGTGCCGCACTACTGTAATACTGACACACCAAACTCAATCTTACAGTTCAATATTGGTTCGTTCGTTAGCGCGGTTCTTGTGACAGGGGTTCGCAAAACAACACAGGAAAATAACGGGACAACCACATTTGAAGGAAAAAATTCGAGAGAGTATATGAAGCCCTTGAAACGCATTGGGTTGATACCAACCTACTTTTTGCATGAGAATTGGTTGAGTGATGGTTGCGTTTTGCAGAGTGCGTAGTGAAGTCTCGAGCTAACGAACGTTCCAGGGCAAGAGCGTACAATTTGGAACGGGATTTGCGCTAGCCCCGGATGCTACCCTGAACGTCCAAAACCATGTCATCCCAGCAGATGGTGATTCATGACTCTCGCATCTTAATATCAACGACACAACTATAATATAACTTCACAACGATCTCCATCGCCCATTGGATGGTAGGATAGCAGAGAGAGGAAGAGGCCGCCCGTGTAACCGTATCGGAGATGGTACGGCACGTGATTGGTGAGCCTGGTTTTCGAGGCTTGAGTCGTTGACGTAGCTTTACGCATGCGATATCCAAAGTCAAGACAAAAAAAGGACGAGGGCTCAGGGGAAAGTACATTGTTGATCTGGTCTAGGCCATTTATCGTGATGGAGTCATAGGGACGTGGTTGTTTGATCTCGATACTTGGATTGTTAGAACCTTCAAAAGGTTTGCCCTGAAACTCGCCTGCTAATTTCACCATGGTACCGTATGCACAAGTCCGGGGGGGCACATACATAGAATCCAGGAATTGTGAGCCTGTTTTGTAGTATTTACTAAGCCATTACCACTGTCTAAGTTGACTTTGATAGACGCTATCAAGTGCTGCTTGCACTTCGCTATGCATGAACCATCCTACTATTTCGCCTCACTCAGCTTCCCCGTTCATCTTATCTCCTCAAGGCCAAAACAAATGCCCACGAGCCGCTCTTACACGTACTACCAGGACTATACATACAATCCAAACTGGTTGACTAGGTTGCTCAATCACCTGAAGCTCGGACTCGTTGCCTCTGGTAGATCCATCCATAGATCTCGCAACAGTTGGGTACCAAGCCACTAGTAGTCTACCCGGCCATGTGGGACTTGGGGTCCATCACCCGCTTCCCCCTTGATACTAGAAGCCGCCTCCTTGGCACGCTCCCTGACATCCAGCTCAGCATCATTCCGCTCCAGGCCTTCGAGCTTTTGCAGGAACCCCAGCTTCTCAAGTTCGAACACCCGCATATCCCTGCCCAGCCTGTCCTCCGCACCATCGCACCATACCAGATTTTTGAGTAGATGACACAACGACCGCCGCACGTCCACGTCCTTATCATTAAAATGCCCCGCCAACAGCTTGAGCAGCTCCGTTTGGGCGATCACGAGTTGTCTGTGTCGAGGAACTCCCGCCGCGATGTGTGTCAAAAAGTAGATGACCGCCACGATGATCTTGGATTGCGGGTACAGCACACGCGAGTCAATGCTGACATTGCGGCCTGATGCTCCCGACCCTGCTCCGCCACCAGGCGTCCCCGAGCTGGAAGACTGGCGCCTGGCAAACGGACGGAGAACCTTGACGCGAAGCTTGGACGCCAATATATCGAAGAGGCGGTCTTGGCCTAGCTCGCTGAAGACGTAGTCAACCATTTCCGCCTGGGCCGGTTGATTAGGGATGGAGATGAGATTGCGAATAAAGTCGAGACCTTGT